CCCCCAAATCCCCCAAAGCCCCAAAGCCGTACTTAGCTCACAACGATCCTTCTGCACAAATCAAAGGCTGAGGGAAGGGCCTGGCTGCCGCCTCAGTCGTCGGTTTAGGGTTTAGGGTTTAGGGTTTAGGGTTTAGGGTTAAGGGTTTAGGGTTTAGGGTATATATATATATATACATATGTGGCTATTAGGTATAGTTATAGATATAGATGTAGGTATAGATATAGACATAGACATGGGCATGGACATAGGTGTATACAATATATACACACATACATTGATATTGATGTTGATATTCATATGTATATTTGTACAGGCATAGATATCTATATCTGCATCTATCCCGGTGACGGTTCAGGGTTTCGATATGCAGGATTTGTTGAGATGACAAGGTTTCAATGTTTCGGTCGGAGGATTCTCCGGTCTTGGCTTTATTTCAGGATCCAGGGCGGTCCTTGTTTGGATCCGTTCGTTTCCGTCGGCTCCGGAAGCTTGGGGTTTAGGGGCTTTTAGGGTTCAGGGTTTAGGGTTTAGGGACGTCTTTGCTGGCATCACGCCGTCTACGACTCTGCAGACATCGTCAACAACTATGAGCCTTGGCTGCAACGGTGGGCTAAACATATCTCCAAAACTCTAATGTCCTTTTGAGTAGTTCTCTAAATTAGTGTCCCTGTTTAAGTCCCCAACATAGTACGGCACCCTTATAAAAAGGACCCAAAAAGGGACCCTAAATTAGAAAACTACCCATGTGCTGAGCCTCGAAGCCCTAAACCCGAACCCTGGAGACTCTACGTGATCTTCAAAACCTACAGCCCAAAACCCAAAGCCCTAAACTCGAACCCGCACCCCATACCCGGGCCTGGGGTTTAGGGTTGAAAGTTTCGGGTTTCCGGTTTAGGCCCATACCCTACACCCGGGGCCGTAAGCCCTGATCCCTCCCCCTCCTCCTTCCTGATCTTCCCCTCTGCCCATAACGCACTCTCGCTGGCCTCGACCGGGTGGCGGGGAGCGCGACCTGGACCGGCCAAGAAAGACAGATACGGGTCTGAAAGGGGTTTAGGTAGGGTTTAGAAGGGGTTTAGGTAGGGGTTTCGGTGGGGTTAAAGTAGCGGTTAGGTCGAGTTTAGGGTTTTGGCTGAGCAGCTTTTGGATTGTACTCTGTTCTGGGCTCATAAGCCGTTGGATTGCTGTGCTAGGGTGTGCGATTTAGCGCGATACTTCTTGTTGGGCGATCTATGGCGAGCGCTGGTACTTGGGTAGTTTTCTAAACTAGGGTCCCTTTTAGGGTCCTTTTTATAAGGGTGCCGTACTATATCGGGGACCTAAAATGGGAGTCCAGTTTAGGGAACTACCCACTTGTTTCGTGGACGTCCGACGCCCGACAGAGGTCATCCTTCACCCTAAACCCTAAACCCTAAACCCTAAACCCTTAAACCCTAAACCCTTAAACCCTAAACCCTAAACCCTTAAACCCTAAACCCTAAACCCTAGATTCCCCAGCCAAAACCTCTGAACCCCTTAGCCCAAAGCTCTTAAAGGAACAGCACTATCGAACCCTAAAGTTGCCTTTAAGGTAGAACCCCACTATCGAACCCTCTAGCACCCTTTAAAGGAACCCCTATCCTTATAGATCCCTAAACCCTAAACCCTAAACCCCTAAACCCTAAACCCTAAACCCTAAACCCCTAAACCCTAAACCCTAAACCCTAAACCCCTAAACCCTAAACCCGGGATCCCTTAAAGGGCCCCCGTAGTGTCTGGCCTGGAGCCTTTGTCGTCAAGCCCAGGCGGTCCCGCGCTGAGCTGGGTGAGGGGCCCCAGGCCCAGCCTTTGAAGCTTAGGGTTTAGGGTTTAG